CAGGTGACAGCAGCAGCACCACAGCCAAAATCTGTGCCCATGTTCAGAACCTGTTTCCATCCCCATTTGGCAGAGGAAGACCTCTGGCTCTACAGACACGGGCAGCTCTCAGCACCAGTGCCACTGTGGATGACAGCATCTCCAGGGAATGCAGGTCAGCTGGGTGGGGAGAACAGATCCTGATCACAGGACAAGGTGGCCCAGTCCAGCCTCCTTCCTGGGCCTGCCTGCAGCTCCCAGCACTGCTCACTCTTTGGGAAAGTTTTCCTACAAGATACCCGCCTGCCATTTCCCTCGTACGCTCCCACAGATCCTCAGGAAGGGTGGTTTGCCAGCCCTTGAGGATCTCCCAATTAAACCTCACCCCTGCATAAAGAGCCTAAGCATCAGGCTGTTTGACTGTGGTTAAAAAAAAAGTCCACAAACCAATTTGCCAGACCACTCAGTAACTGGTGGACTTCACAGCACCTTAATCAGGAAGCAAACCGTCCCAGAGGTGTTTGTTTTCCACACTCACAAGCAGCAAAGCTGCGTTTTCTCCAGCCGGCAGGAGCCCTCAGCTGTGACCCACTGTCACCAGTCACATGCTCTGCGCAGCCCTCCAAACAACTGGGCGATTTATTAACATAGTTCAGATAAGGGTGTTTACACACTGCCTGGAGAGGCTGAGATTGCAGATTTTAAACACTTGAGGAAGCTGTGTCTTCCCCATATCTCCAACCAAGGCCGGAAAAGCATCATAGTGCCTGTGCTGCCCTGAGACTGTTTGCTTACAAGGAGCCACGGAACAGCCCTCTCACACCACAGAAGCCATCAGCAGGCAAAAGGGAGAGCCTGCGGTTTTAACCAGGCTTCCTCCTGACACTCTGCTTCACCCCGGGGTGTCCCCTCTCCCAGCACCCCAGCTGGGGTTCATCCTCTGAGCCGTTAAGTCAAAGCCACCCTCTCACAGCTGTATGGGAATGGGCTGTTTCCAGGATCTCACAGCCCTCCAGGATCAGGGTTTTGTCCCAATGCCCGATCTCAGGGGACTGTCCCACTCCCCAGGACAGCACGGGAAGCACCGCAGCCCTCGGGGACAGACAGCAGCTCTTGCTGTGCTAGAAGCCTCCTGGGATAACGCTACGAGAGGAGTGAAGTTAGTGGCTTGGGGTGGAAGGATGACAGCAGAAGACATACTGGTCCACACTCTCCTCCCAACCAGAGCCACCACGGAGCTGCCAGAAGGGTGGTCATCATGTGGAGAACAGCTCCTCATCCAAAAGAGCGGGCAGACTTCTTGGGACACCCCAAAGGGCGCTGTCCCCACCCTTTGCTAGAGCTTCTCCCCTCCTGGCACAGCACCCACAGGGCTTACACCCTCCTCCCACCAAGAAGCAGTCAGGCACCCGCTGCTCCTCACCCTGATCTCACGGCACCCATCTTCCTGGGATGAAGCTCTCCATCCCGAAGGAGGATCTCCTCCCAGGGGTCATGGGTGGGGGCCTGGCTGCCCAGCGAGTCCCCCCTGCCCCGGGCAGATACGCAGCTCCAGCCATCGGCATCACTACCGCCCCGTTACACTGCAGCCCCTCTCCTAGCACCCCGTCAGGACACATCACGCCCCAGGGAGCTCCCAGCACCCGAGTGGGGTGACACCCTGCTTCACACACCAGACGTTC